CAAGCTCCGCTCCAAAGTCACAGAAAAACCTAAATCCTAACCATTCTTTTGAACACTGAAGTCGAAATGCAATGGTTTCTGCTGTAACGCTAAGGACTATTGTAACCAGTGGGGATCAGAGAATGAAATCCCAATTTCCCAACCAATTCCCCACCCAATTCCATTTAAAATCCAATTCCATCTCCCACAGAGGTTTCAGTAATAGGCCGGCTACCAGCGGTAAGAACTGCCTAATTTTCCTTTTTTGGACAGTTATTTTGTCTTAAAGGGACACTGTCAATGGATGACATGCGCAGTAACAGTCTCACCTCTAATGGACTTTGAAAGTATTACCTTCGAGGTAAACCATTTTGTGGTGCTATTGACACACTTTAGAATATTCTAGATCTGTTTACGTTTACGAGCTGATTTATGTCGCGCCAACTTTGAGTCATAAACTTGAAAACACTAGCCTAATGTTTTCAAGTTCACTCACGCATGCATGCCATTGACAGTGTCCCTTTAATGAATATAACTGTGTAACTTTGCTTTGGACACAGTCTCCTACTTCAATCACACAGAAGCTTATTCAAAAAGATTGTGAAAACCCTGCTCCCATCTTATTTTATTTTCATTCTAATCAACTGCCAATCACCTGGCCCTGTCCTTGCCTCTCCAGGTCCACTACCGCCATGTCTACAATAGGACCAAGATTGGTGAATGTCTCCAGAACTTGAACATAAGACCCACGCTCATCTGCATCTGTGTTAAGCTTAAAGACAAACAAAATGAATGAAAGAAAATGAGCATAGAGAATGAATGAGAGGAAATAGAATGCAATGCATATGAACTCACTTTAACCAGCTGGGAGTCGCCGAAAAGAGAACCAACAAAGACGACACCATTGTCCAGATAGACCAGGCAATGTGCTATTGATGTCTGAAATCATATAATCATTCTCATCATTATCATCATCATCACCTTTATCATCATCATTATAATCATCATAACCATTTTTATTTTCAATCATTTCTTTGAGATTCAAATATCAAATGAAAGTCACACAATGTTAGCAGTGCATTATAGATGTTTCCTTTGCATACCTCTCCCAAAAGCTCCAGTTTTAAGTCCTTTACTTCCAAAGTCCCATCCAAAAGTTCTTGTTTCTCTAAGAGCAGCATAAACAACCGTCCATTCATGTCTCCYAGTAAGTATCTTGAGCCATTGGAGTCTATTTTGCCATAGCATGTTATAGTACTTTGCTACACAGGGTCACAAATAAAATTTTAACGACACTTCCATTTTAATACGCTATAATTTTAGTTATATTCAAATTTCAACTGTCAAACACATTGACTATTCTTAAAATTCCCTTTCAGGGGGGAATAGCTTTGAATCAATGTGTACAAATTAATTCTTTATTCTATTGTTTTACATACTGGAATTTTAAGAATAGTCCAAAGCCTCCTTCACAGTTCGCCCTACACCATCTTGAAATGTACAGTGTAGTCGTGCCTTTGCATCAAAGCAATTACAACAGTATAGTATAGTTTACAACATGACCAGGCATGTTGTATACAACACGGACACAAATGTTTTAAACGACTATGAAACGCCAACACTAATTAACATGAATTACAGTGAGATAAATGATGTAAAATGATGTCAACAAGGTAACTGCTGAGTTTAGCCACTATTACGCATGCACAATTTACTACAACAGAGAACATTTTGAATGATTATTCATCCACATGGTAAGCAAGCCATCTGTTGCATAAGGGAGTGCTGCTATCTGTCTTGGATTGCTTTGAAACCTAGTGAAGGTCTATGATGCGATATTAAAACTGAGACCTTTGCTTGTGTCTCCATGGTGATGGCAGTGTTGTAAAATCTGTTGCACCAGATTTACAAGGTCAATCACCTGACCAGATAGACAGCTCTTATTGGATAAATAGTTCATGCATTACTAATGAGTTTATTATGGTTTACCTTGAGTGCTGGAGGTGCAATCGCATAATAATTAGATCCTTTGTGATATGTGATGGACTCCTGGCCTACTATTAGTGCTCCACAGAGGGGCTCGGGGACTAAAACCATAAAGGAATGAATGAAAAATGGATAATGGGATGAATGGGATAAATGAGAATTAGGATAAGTGGGAAAATAGAGAGATGGATAAATAATAGAACAACAACATGGCTCAGTTCTTTCCTCGATCCTCACTATTGCTAATGCTATGGCAAACATTAAATATTTTCTGTATACTGAGCTTGCATACCTGCGATAATTCTACATGCTTCAACTTCAACATTGTCTTGCTTCCAAGGGCCTTTTATAAACTCGTGCTCTCTCAAGTTCACCTCATATGTTTTGACATGCCGACCATGAGTTTCCTTGAGAAAAACAGAAATTTTCAAATTTATAAAACCTATAATTGCAGTTGTCTAATGCCTTTTACCTTCAAAGGAAACTATCAGGAATCCTATATACACTACAAGTAGAATTGTGAATCCTTTACCTGATAAATGAAGACAATTGTGGGAGCATCACAGCCATGCAAAAACTGTATATCAACAACATGGAGTTCTTCAAGCCTTGAAAAAAGAAATAATCAAAATTAAAAAATTTATTATATTTTCTTGTATTGTAAACAAGAAAATATAGTTATAGATTAACTTTATATTTGGATATGATTAAGGACCTA